GGACACCTCCCACTAGATCAGTTTGCTCAAGGCTTTAGAGGCCTTCCATGGTCTTCTGTCTCCAGCTATTTCCAGAAATATATACCCTATTCAGTCAATATACTTAATTATTCTTTGATTAAAAAAACTTGTTTTATGATGAAGTACTTATCATATATTTAAATGCTTATATTTAAGTAGATTCAAAGAATATACTTCATAATTCTTCAGTGAAAGAAATGTAGCCTATTTCACCTTGATTTCTAGTCCATTTAAACCAATTATGTTTCCTCCACCTTTTGTGACTAGCAATTAGTAGGTGGCATTTGTTCATCAGGATACTGATGAAGGTGCTAGGGGGCCACTTTGTTTCTCTAGAGTATCTGCCATTTCATAAGCTCAAGAAACATGTCTTCACTGAAATTAAAAGCAAGCCAACATGGAAAAAGTCAGAAAGAAATAAATGGAATGGGTAATTTTTCAAGCACATTTTTTATTTTTATAACTATATTTTGCACTCTGATTCTATGTGATTCTGATGTAGAAATTAATGCCTTATTGTTCTTCAATGTAATGCACAGGCTCTGAGATGTGGTTGGTTATAGAAGGAAAACTTTTTAAGGTAAATTATGCCACAACTTTAAATTCACACAACATCTTTCAGTGTGACTTCACACAGCAGATAGTGACCATGCCATCTAGAAGGGAGCTATGAGGCCTGTAAATGGCAAGCTGTGAACCTTTGTAGCAGCATAAAATGGAATTGCTGCAGGGAGTTATCTGCCTCAGATGAGCATCAATAATCTGCCTTAAAAGAAAGCAACTGCAAGCAAGACAGCTTCTAAATGTCAGACCAGCTCCTACAAATTTCTGAGGATAAGGCTGATGAAGGATTGCCTTTGTAAAGGGGCTGAATGAAAGACAAAGGACTACGGGATCAAAGTCTTGTTGCATGGCATTTAACAGCTGTTACGGTACAGACCTTCACGAGGTGTCAGAGACCTTTTTCCACATTAAACAGCAGCTTTAAGAAATTCTACAGTAAATCCATGCAAACAGAAGAGACAATAACTTTCTTTGGGATTTAAACACAAACAAAATCCAACAAAACCAATCAAAAAGTTAAGAAATGTACCTTGACTTCCAGATTATTTACTTGCCTTCCAGTGCTTGTGACCTCCATCCAGTTTGGCCAACATGGCTGTTGTCCAGCACCTACAGCAACCATTAGCACCAAATAATGTAGCCTGATTTTTTCAAATGCACCTTTGGCATGACATTTCAGTGAGTTGTAAGTTTAGGGAAATTTGTGTGCCATTATTCAGAAAGAATTTATTCAAAATGCTGAACTTCTACCCAAAGTAGAAATACTTTGTTTCACAAATACTAGTTTCATAAACCATGGTAAGTACTTCAGACTGCAAACAAGGTTGAGGAGGATATATTGTATTCTTACATTGAAGCAGAAACAAGCTCTTTTGAAGGCTCTGTTATAACCTACACCATTTTAACTGAATAAATAGGTCTACCTGTACTATATAGTCCCATTCCTTTACATTTCAAATTGCCCAAGAGTCCATTTAGATTTTGCCACTTTCTATACAGTATAGACATCTCTACATCTAAATATTTTATGTGTTCAAGAAGTAGCTTCGGTTTCTCTTAGCTTCCCAAAATGATATTCAATTGCCTTGTTGCAGACAGTACATTTCTTACCAAATACTTTTCCACTGCCTGAGCTCCAAACCAACTTACGTAAGCAAGCTACATCCAAAAGCTGCACAATTTTGCTTGCATAACACTCCAGCCAGATCTGCCTCAAAAAGGTTGCAGCCATGTGTCCATGACCAGGGCCCGACTGTAAAACCAGCTTCGCAGTTTGTATTCTTGGTTTAGCAATTGTAGTTCAGGGCAAATTCAAGACTGTAACTAACTCTTACGTGGCAACCAGACAAACCAACAGGCTCTTGGTTAGCACACCTAAGCCATGTTAATAACATCTTATTTTAAAGCACATTCTAGTGTCTTTCTGGTTGATGAATAAAAAAAAGTATATAAAAACATTGTAAGAGTCCAAAGAAAACTGTACTATACCATGTACCTACTATTTCTTGACAAAAACGATTATTTATAGAGTATCTTTCACCGTAAGAACCGTCATAACTGCAGAAAGCTTTTCTCCAGTGTAATTTTATTAGGGATTCCTGCCATCATATTAACATACAAAACAATCAGGATGTTGACATATAGAAATGTGAAATTCACTGTACAAAGATAAGGCTCAAGTTACAGGTATATTTTCCCCTTACACTCCAAGAAATAAAACCATTTTTAATTCTTCCCAGAGTTGTGTTTATAAATGTTAGACAAATCACAAAATAGATTTCAAGTACATAACATTTTACAATATAATCCAAGCACAGACAGAAATACACAATACTGTACCTACAGATGCTCCATAATCCAACTCTGTCATCCTCACTAATAAAATACTATACTGCTACTCTCTCTGTGCATGCCCAACCACATCCTTCTGCATGTATGACATGGTCCTGGCCTTTAAATTATAACAGTCTCATGACTTTCAGTTAAATTACCTTGTTAAACCAGAGAACATCAGGAAGGAAGGGGAGAATTTTAAGAGGCCAGGCCTATATGTATGCACGTGGTTATTAAAATCAGGCACATGTGCGCACACACACTTGCATTTAACCCTACATAAAACTTCACTGCACTGCACATTTTTTGAGATTATGTTGTCATGCAACTTGGCTGTTTTCTGATAGAGTTAAATGAAGCATTACAATACTCTTATTATTGGAGTGCTGTAATTTACAGGGACAAGACTATAGGACCTAACTTCTTTCTTCTTTTTATTTTTTTAATAATTATCAGATTTTATAGGAACCTGTATGGAACCATGTCTACACAGTCCAGCAGGATGCCAGCTCTCACAGCCTTCCCCACTCAAACACCTTTTACTGACACCTTTGTTTAGAAACAATGCAAGTGAGTAATTTCCTGTTAAGACCAAATGTCTGCATTAGTTCACTCTCCACTTCTATTAGGCTGAATGATTATTACCTCATGGGAAAGGATCATTTAGCTGCAAGTAGCACAGGAAGAAATATACATCAAATAACTAATGAATAATAAGTCTTCTAGAGAACAGATTGGCAAGGACAAATAAAGACGAGGAAAAAAAGCACTTAATTTAGCCTTTGGTGGTAGGGAAATGTTAGCAATCCGTAAGTTTTCAACTGAAAAAAAAGGACCTCCTAAGCCCTGTAACAACTATTCTGTCCTTTACAAACTGGAGAAGATTAGAAGGGAAGGAGAAATCCTCTAAGAAAATTGTCATTTTCAAACTAGACACTTGCAAAGTCTTACATGAGGAAACCAAGCAAAACAGATTCTCTAATACGGAAACTAAAGAAATTTATTCAGTAGGAATTAGACACGTAGCTACAATGTGTTAAATGCACATCTAATAAAATAGCCTCAAATATGTCTCCATTTCATAAATGTCCAAGCAGGAGAAAGACTCTGAAGCCAAAATCAGAGTTCCCTAGTTTAAAAAAGAAACAAGCCTGCACTAAGATTGGAAAGGGGAGGAATAAAAACTTTCTCATCTTAAGTACAACCTCTGTGGTATATTTGAGGGCCTTCAAATGCTCTCAGCATTTACAAGATTCTATTTAAGTATATTCTCTAAGCTATATTGGAATACCTTTAGATATACAAATCCATGTTACACAAAACAGCATTAGATCTTGTAACTGGGCTTGTAATAACAAGGAAAGAGGGTAAGTATGCTGCTATATGTGAAAGGAAGCATATTAGTACGCACAGAAAATATGTTGTCTTACAGATTAGTAATAACAAGCATCAAGGATGAAGACGCATCTCTCACAGTACTTAAGTCTTTAACTGTGAGCCAGTAGAATATTTTATGTCAGCTGTACAGCCTAATGCTTTGCTTTTAAAAATGAATATGAAAAATTTAATTATTTTTCTCCTTTTCCTGGTCTTTATAATTTTTAAAAGTAGGTCACTCACCTACTGATTTATTTTTGGCTCTTTTTTCTATTTTTTCTGCGCTACTTACTATTATTGTCTTCCATGTTATGTACAATAATCTACATTTAGATTAGACTGAAGACTCTCTTTCTAAACATACTTGGACTATCTTGTAAAGACTTTCTACAGCACTGATAAGGTGGAAGACAACCTGACAGATAAGCGGAAGGATCATTTCAGTTCTGGCAACTTCCCTAAACTTTACAGCTGTGCCTTTCAGAAATTCTTCTGTGCACTTGTCCTTTCACCTCCCCCAGGCAGCCCCTACTGAACTTGAGTGAACTTGCTATGTGTTTCCCAAACACAGTCCCTCTGTATAGAGCTATGTGAAACTCATTCATTCTCCAGCCAATAGTTTTAAAACAAATAATTGCTAAAACACTAAAAACACCCTACATGCCCTTGTGCATTATTCTTACCAATGTGTACATTTAAATAACATCATAAGTTGTCTTTTGCTAAAAATTTACCAAAATATTTTAAACACATAAAAATGTAAAAAACAAACAAACAGAAAACAAACAAAAAACAAAAACCCAGCATAAACATTGCTTGTATAGGCATTGGTTAGAAGAGATTATTGTACTAAGGAGTATATTCAAAAAGTTTTTCTTTCAGTTTCATTAGTTTTAGTGTCATGTATTGAAAGGTTAAGGACGATGAAACTTATTGTGACCCTGTCTTATATAATGTAATAAATAAGCAGGAAGACTGAAATGTGATTAGAATAAAGCTTCTTTTTGGTTGTTGAGAGGTGACTGTATAAGCCTGTAACTAAAAGGGCAATTTAAGCATGTAAAAAGAACTTAAGAATCTGAAGAGTCTGCAATGAACTGTATATGAAGGCAGCTACCAACTCATGGGCCCAGGGGCATTATGGAAAGCTGGCACTAACTGAAATTTTGAATATAGCCCTTAGTTGTATCATATTTATGTAGGATTTAAAAGCTGCCCAGCATGTCACGGATGAAGCTTATTTTGCAAGCCACCCACTGCCTAAGGGGGCAGTAATATTCAATATGAAACTGTTGAAACTCCGGTGTCTGACGGATTTCATGGAGGACAGAGATTTGAAGGTCCGACTCCAAGAGAACAAGGAAAAGAGGGAACACAAACAACACCAGTCCAAGGCCTACAAGGAAAAGTCTGGAGAAACTCTTCACAAAAGCATTCACCTCTATGTTGCCCATTAGAAAGTCATAGCTCCACCTAAGTGCTTTCCGAGCTTCTTTCAGTTCTTCCTCCTCTGCAATTAAAAATGCATTTTCATCTGCTTCAAGTTCCTCAAATGAATCTGTATCATCTTTCTCATTCTCTGCTCTAGGACAGGTATCAAAAAGCATGTCAATCTCATCATCAACAGGGGTGGGCACCAAGCTGGCACTAGGATTGTATGCCAGTTCTGAGATGGTTAATGGTTCCTCTTTCATCTTCTCTTCCTGTTCAATGCCAAGATCAACATTCTCCCCAGCATCCTTAACTGGAGAGCTTGAAGTTACAGGTACAGAAATCTCATCTTCCCTTGGTGGTTGGATACCTGAAAAAAGATGAAAACAATGATCCCAAATATCTGGCATCCTGGTGCCAAAACAGCCTTCTAATAGTATCTGACAGAGGTTTGGAAAGAAGATTCTGCAGTAATTTTGCATATTGAAACCAAACTATACACAACTAGCAAAAACTGGAAAAGGTTTTTGAAGAGGGCAACATCTTTACAACACTGCAGCACACCAGATCTGTTTAACAATGTCTGATTCAGCTACCACTAATAATGGTGTAGTATAGAACAGAAAACAGAATGTTAATTTTCTACTGGCACTCTGACTTCTGGTATATGAGGATAGCTACTACACCTGTCAATTGGTGCTATTTGGTATAGAATAATAAAAATAATAGTAATAACCACAACCACCACCCTTTATTTCTTTGAGACAAATGAGTGACAAGAGCTGAGATTGAGAATTTTTAATAGAGCATAATATTAAAAAGGGAAAACAGATCATCATGATAAATTCATGTTAACAGTAGAGAGGACAAAAGGAGAGGGAGGGTGATACATGATATGAGGATTAGATATCTTTGAAACAGTGTGAAAATGCCAGTGTTAAAAAAGCTTCTACTCCTGATGTCTTCATTTTTCTCCCAGTCATCTTTCTGCTCTTCATACTCACAGTTCCTTTTGTCTCTCTTTTTAAATTTTTCTCCCCTCTTTATAGAGGAGTCTTTCTTATGACCCCATTCTCTGCCCAGGCTCTCTCCTCTCAAAGCTTACTCTCCCTTTTTTCAGTTTACCTCTAAAACCAATAAGTCTGCAAAGATTACAGCTATAACAGCACTGCAGTGACTGCTGTTAGTTGTCAGTTGGAAGAGTGGAAGTGAGGAGAGTCGGGCACAGACCCTCCCTTAAAAAGTGATGTTAAGACACTCTCTCATGAAAACTTTGCAGCAGTGTGCTCAGGTGGCCAAGAAGGCCAATGGCATCCCAGTCCAGATCAGGAACAGTGTGGTCAGCAGGACCAGGGAGGTGATTCTGTCCCTGTACTCAGTGCTGGTGAGGCCACACCTTGAATCCTGTGTGCAGTTCTGGGCTCCTCAGTTCAGGAAGAATATTGAGGTGCTGGAGCACGTCCAGAGAAGAGCAACGAGGCTGGTGAAGGGACTTGAGCACAAGTGCTATGAGGAGAGGCTGAGGGAGCTGGGGTGGTTTAGCCTGGAGAAGAGGAGGTTCAGGGGTGACCTTATCACCCTCTACAACTCCCTGACAGGAGGCTGGAGTCAGGTGGGGGTTGGTCTCTTCTTCCAGACAATCAAGTGCACAGACTCAAGCTCTGCCAGGGGAGGTTTAGGCTGGATATTAGGAAGAGATTTTTTACAGAAAGAGTAATCAGGCATTGGAATGGGCTGTCCAGGGAGGTGGTGGATTCACCATCCCTGAAGTTTTTCAAGATGAGCCTGGATGTGGCACTTGGTGACATGGTCTACTGGTGAGGGTAGGGTTGGATTCGATGATCTTTGAGGTCTCTTCCAACCTGGTTGATTTCATGATTCTATGACTCTAGGCCTCACTGGCCATGCCTGCAGGTGAGGTTTCACATTCAGGCCAAATCATGAAAAAGACTGTTTCTGCTTCTTCTCACTTCATCCCTGAGCAAGGCAGCTTGTAAAGCTAACCTAGGAAAATAAGTGTTTTTCTTCCTGGGTTAGCTACCTATGTTTTCTCTTCTTGAATTGGCTTGCCAGATGTTCTCATGGAGTTAGCATGTTACTAAGGACAGAGAGACAGAGCAGGATTGGTTCTTTCACCAGCAGTTGTGCATAGCTAAATGAAACCTTGTCTTCTGTAAAGAAAATGCAGGTTTCTCTTCATTAGTTTAATTTAACTGCCTAGCTAATAATTCCTTGCCTCTACTACTTTATCCTCTCCTAACACAGGCAATTTAGAAATTCATCACATTTCAGCATGAAATATGTTTTGTGCTGGAACTTAATTGTCTACACCAGTCTTTTTGTTAACAAATACGCTTGCCACAGTCATCAAGAGGAAGACACAAATTGACTGAAACTAGACACAACAGTGTATGAACTGGAGAAGTGAGAACAGATTATGGGATATCTTTCTCCTAAGCATACTGTAACAGCAGGTAATGCTGGACTATATTCTGAGTCACTTTAGAGTCCACGCATGGTATCTTAAAATTCAAAAGCCAAAACTTTTAAACTTTGGAGCCCAACATCAAGCATCTACACACATCTTTAGATACACAGATACTACAATTTGATTTTCAAATGTGCTGATTCAAAGAAATCGATCCAAACAGCATGATCCTGTCAAGCAAGCATTCATTTACTGACAGTGTGAGGTGCGTAGGGGGGTCAATTCTCCAAATAACATGCACACCCCTGCCCCAAATGGGACAGTTTTTATTTTTACAAATCATGCATATTCATTACATTTCTGAGAATGAATGCATATATGCTAATTATTTCCAAAAAGTCATTACAATATCCCTGCTCTTCGCACATTTGCACGAACAAATGAGGGAGTGGTTGTTGAGGGTCTTCTGTGACCCCCACTGGTTGTTCCATAGTCTTCATCACCTGTCCTCTGGGTGAACTCTCCTGCTTGGCACATGTGTATTCCTTCTTGACACCTTCCCAACCCCATGGCTGGTTTTGGCATTGCTTCCTTAGGGGAGTTCATCTCATCAGTCTCCTGCTTATCTTCTTACTCTTACAGAGACAATGCAGGTCTCAGTAAACCTTGCTTGTGCTAACAAGTCAAATTCCTGCAGGTATAGCTCACAGCTCATCAAGCCTAACAAGCAGGCCCTAAGCAGAAAGGCACAGCTACTACTATGGTTAACATCAGCTACAACTCTAGTTAACACGGTTATAAGTATTGCTAACATCAGCTATGACTGTGGCTAACTTAGTCTCTACCTCATCTCCTTATTCAGTTCCTTCATCCAAAGTTAGTGTACTATTGTACACTAAAAGCACTTTCAGTGCTTTTCACTTATTCTAATAGGAGTTAAATTTAAGCTGAACCACTTACTTAGACACCTCAATATGGTTTAAAGCACCTAACTGTACTCTTTCAAATTTAAGAATCCTGATCACAGGCCTCTCTATACCTACTTAAATGCTAGGTCAGTAATATATATTCGTCATGTTTCTCACTGTAGACAGGACAGCTGCAGCTACTGCAAAGAAAGGTCATCCAGATTTATGATTCTTGAGCCTTCTGTTCTTCCCCAGAGTAAATTCCAGCATGCATAAAATATACAGTGAACATGAATAAGATAAACTAGATAAATTAAATAGATATTAACTTTCATTAAAACTGTATTTTTCTCAAATAAGTGGCAAACATCTGACTTTGGGATTACCTTGTTGATGGAAGGCAGCAGAGAAACCTTTTCAGATCAGCATTTTCTGAAGGGTTGTATTAAAATTGAAGTGTGTCACACTTCTGAAACACACATCAAATTTACATTCTGCTATTTAATTTCAACTGGTAACAAGAATTTTCAGCTCTTTTATGTGTGAAGTTCCTTAAATTGAAGTGGCTGCATTTTACACCAGCCCAATATAACTATAAATAAATTATATATACATTTTTGAAAATTTAGAATGGGCCTCTGCTGCTGCTGCAAGCTCATTTGATATTTAAAAAAAGATATATATATATAAAGCTGTTCTTTTTGTTCCTTCATATTTCCCATAACACCACAACATTTCTTAAGGCAAGGACTGAAGAAAGAAATGGCTATTAACCATGGTCAAGTTCCAGTC